TATCTTTGAGGGTGCAAATTGAGATTTTTGATCTTTGGGGGTGTACATTGATACAAATTTCTATCTTTGAGGGTGCAAATTGAGATTTTTGATCTTTGGAGATATAAATTGAGATTCGAACGATCTTTCAGGGTACAAAATGAGATTAACCCTAAAAAAAAAAAGGATGTGAGTGGTAGACCCCCACTATGCTTATTTGGTTGTTTCTAATTAATCAATCATACAATATACTAATGATGGCGTAATCAAACATCAACATTTCAGAGGCAGTCAAAAATATTTTTATTTTTAATGAGACCAAAATAATAAGTAATTGAATTAAAATTTTAATATTTCGAGATATTTTGAAATAGTTCGAGATATTTTGAGATATTTCGAAGTATTTTTACCAATATTTTCAAGGTGTTTCAAAATGTTATGGTATATTTCAATATTTCCAAGGTGTTTTATTTTTGGAAAATAAATCCAAAAAATCTTTTAATGCATTTTCATTCTTTTTTTAAAACAATTCTGAAATATTTTCAAAACGTTTTGCTTTTTTAAGTAACCAAAATAATGCATCAAAACATCCTAATAAGCATTTGGTTGGCTATGTAGATGTGTTAAACTCACATAAAAATGAATAACGTTAGTTGAACCTAATTTATTTATTTAATTTATTATAATCTTTAGATTGATAATGAGTCTCATCAAACATTGAAATTTGATGTTAATCCAATTATTACAACGAAACAATGTTATTAGATAAACAGATTAGATCAAATTTTTAGGTTCAAATAACATTACTCCATAAAAATTACTCCTTTTTTTCCCTAAGACATTAATAGGTCTGTTAACTAGTCAACATCTATTAAAGTGATTAACTTATTCAAACATCATGCTTTTCGAAAGTCAATTCCTTCTTCAATTTTTTAAAGAGAATGTTATTTGGTAAACTCTTTTTTTTTCATACTTATTGCTAAAATCCTTATTAATAAAAGGCTGGAATGTCGAGATAGGATGGAACCTTTCTGTACGCCCTTTAAGTGTTGATTCTTCCATATTTAGAAACGAATATAGATCCATATAGAAATTTATATCTTTCTATCGATAGATAGATCTATTGAGAACTTGATATTAATTTGGTTTCAACATCTATGAACAAGTTAGAGTAGAATCTAAAACACCCAAAAAAAAAAAGAGAAGGAAAGGAAGCCCAACACAAATAACTCCAAAAGGAATCAAAAATACAAAGCATCAATCCAAGCTTTAAAACATATAGTGTCAAATTCTTAAAACATATTTATTCTTGCCTTAATAATATTTTTGGTCCTTAAGATTTATATTTTTTGTCAATTTAGTTCTCATTGTATCAATTTTGTCAATTTAAATTCTAAAGTATTCAATTTGTGTCATTTTGGTTCCTATATAATTGGACTGTAAATTTTTGAAGAAATGATCACATGTTGAATACATGATACTGTCTAAAAAAATAACACCTGATCATTTTCGTCAAAAAACTTGACGGATTGCCTGATTAGGAATCAAAGTGACACGAATTGAATATTTTAATAACCGAATTGATACAATATAGACTAAGCTGCGAAAAAATATATACGTTAACAAACACCTCATGGATAATAATTCCAAGTTGCAGCTCTCTCATCAGAGAGAGCTGGTTTTTCATCATCTCATTCACTGCTTCCTTCGTCGGATTCGCAGCCTCACCCAACGTCTCTGACGGCTGACCAGTGTTAGTTATCCTGGGTCGGAAATACACCACAAACAAAATATAAACAAAAGAGGAATCCTTATTTCTCTCTAGAAATAAAATACAAGAATTTTTACAAAATTTCTCACAAATGAGATATATATCTCTCTCTCTCTCTCATTGATCTTGAGCATATATTTGACCTTCACTAAGCTTCCTATTTATAGGGAGTTTTTGGCCAAAAATCAAGAAGAGAAGGGAACCCATTTAAAACACTGGCAAGATTTGTCAAAAATCCAGTCATTTTGTCGTCAAGCCGTCCATAGAGGTGGTTACTAGAGTGGGCTACTAGGTACCCTTTTGATGGAGCTAGAACCTTTAAATCTCTCCCTTTAGAGCCATCAGAAGAGAATGTAATCAGATATTCATTCCAGCTATGTCTCTGCACAGCTCAAGCTTATCCCGAGTAACGACATTTGTCAACATGTCTGCTAGATTCTCCTTTGTGTGGATCTTCACAAGTTTCAATAATTGTTGCTCCCTCACTTCACGTATCCAATGATAGCGAATATCAATATACTTCGTCCGAAAATGGTACATTGAGTTCTTGCTCAAGTCCAGAGCACTTTGACTATCACAATACACCTTGTATTCCTTCTACTTAATACCTAGTTCTTGGAGAAACTGCTTTAACCACAACATTTCCTTACCAGCTTCCACTACAGCAATATACTCTGCCTCTGTCGTGGATAAATTATGCACTTCTGTAACCTTGACTACCATGACACATCTCCCCCTGCAAAAGTGTAAAGAATCTTGAAGTAGATTTTCTACCATCAAGATTTCCTGTCATATCAGAATCTATATAGCCTTCCAAAGTTGGCTCAACTCTCTCGTAACACAAGTGTATCTTCAATGTACCCTTAAGGTATTTGAGAATTCACTTGACTGCCTCCCAGTGTTTCTTCCATGAATTCGAAAGAAATCTGCTCATCATGCCCACTACATGGGCAATATCTAGCCTTGTACACACCATTGCATACATTAAACTCCTAAATGCTGAAGAGTAGGGAATCATTGTCATATCTTCTGTCTCCTTCTTTGATGAGGGACATGAATTCTTGCTCAACTTGAAATGATTAGCCAATGGGATGCTGATTTGGTTGGTAGTATCCATGTTGAACCTCTGGATCACCCGTTCAACGTATTTCTCCTGTGATAGTCACAATTTCTTGGTTTTCCTATCACAAATAATTTGCATACCTAATATTTGTTGAGCTGGGTCTAAGTCCTTCATGTCAAAGGACTTGGACAGTTCCTTCTTCAACTAGATAATCTTTATTGCATCCTTTCCAACGATCAACATGTCGTCAACATAAAGTAGGAATACAACAAAATTGTCATCCGAAAATCTCTAAACGTAAACACACTGATCTACAGCAGTCCTCTTGTATCCTTGACCAACCATGAATGAGTCAAATTTCTCATACCACTATCTGGGTGCTTGCTTGAGGCCGTACAGACTCTTCTTCAACTTATAGTCCAGTTTTTCTTTCTTGGAATCTCAAAATCTTCTAGTTGTTCCTTATATATTTCTTCATTTAGATCTCTATGAAGAAATGTAGTTTTCACGTCCATTTGTTCAAGCTCCAAGTCTAAACTAGCTACTAATCTGAGAATGACTCGAATTGAGGTCATCTTAACAACTGATGAGAAAATCTCGTCAAAGTCAATTTCTTTCTTCTGTTGGAACCCTTTAACAAC